ATTTAGCTCAGTGGTTACGGCGCCTGCCTTGCAAGCGCAAGGTCCCGAGTTCGATCCCCAGTACCCCCCAAAAAAAAAGTAGCTACTTGAAATTTCCAGATAATTTAACATCTATGTCATATTGGCATTGATTTTTTTTTTTTTGGCAGCACCGGGGATCAATCTCAGGACCTTATGCTTGCAATTCAGGCATGGCACCACTGAGCTAAATCCCCGGCCCTGGCATTAACTTTTGAAAATTTTCTACAAGTTGACGTTTTTCTGGTTCTTTGTATACTATAATTTTGTATTGCATACTGACCATTTTGCATTATTCTTTTATGAGATTCTACGTCTTGTTTAAATACAATAGAGAAAACTGATTTTTTTGTTTTGACAGACAGTTGACCCAGTTGGGTTTCTTGGTGTTGTACTTTCAATGTTAGCTTCATTTTCAAAGTCTTTGCCAAGGTATTCAGAGCTATCTTATGTGTACCCATCCCAGTGGTCAATCAGGCCTGTACAGTGTTCTTTTCGTTTCAGTTCTCAGAGTCTTTGTTAGAGTTAGATGTTTAGGTTCGGGTTCATGAATGAATCTGGGAATTCATAAGCAACTTTATTCATAACAACCTTCCCAAGTGTCTCCTGCTCTGAGATCTATTTGCTACTTACTTATTTTCTGGGCCTTTCTCTTTTTTGGTTCTCCACCCAGAAAAATGAGGTTTTGTTTACCTTTTATTGCCAGGTGCTTCTCACAAATTCGCTTGCATTGAAGGCCAAGTCTCAAGAGGGCAGAGAGAAAAAAAAGCAACAGAGTATGTGGCCCCATGCTCTTGGGAGCATATTTCCTTGTATCAAGAAGATTCCTTTCCTTTAGTATTTTTCACACCTGTGAGTCTTCTTGAATAAAAGCATTCCTTCTCTAACAGTGGGATTACCAGAATCTAGGCAGGAGAGAATGCAGCAAAGGAAAAAATATTAGGGAATTGGCAACTTCTGAACTTCAGAAAGCCCCTGTTCAAGCCAGAACAAAAGGTCTTCTAGAGCTATCTCTGTACATGGTTCCAGCTGTGTACTATAATTCAGGCTTCACTGAAACAGTAGCGGACCAGGAATGCCAGAGAAAAATACAAAATTAACTTTGTTTGGATTGTACTTTTCTGATATTTCCCCCCTATGCTTCTGCTACTGTAATCAGAGGGCTCTGTGTGTGTGTGTGTGTGTGTGTGTGTGTGTGTGTGTGTGTGTGTATGAATGTGTGCATTGTAACAGTTTAGCAATGATTTTGGTAATCTAAGTTCAGGGCTGCAATCCAGTTCTCAGAGTTAATACGTACTCTCCAGATTTATGGGCACAATTCCCCAAAAGACTGTCCTCACTTCAAATACCAGCCACAGGTTTGGGGGATTCCAGGCCACCCATACTTCTGCCAACTGGTTGTAAATTCAAGGCTTCCCATCATCTCCTCAGATTTGATCATTTGCTAGTGTGACTAACAGAACTTACGATAGTACTCTACGTAAAAGCTTTATTATAAAAGATATAATATCTTCCTTAAAATGTCCTTAGGAAGGATTAAGATTTACAAAAGATATCAGGTTGTAGCAATTATATACTATATCTATTGACAAAGATGGTATGGTATGGTACTTAGTATAGGACTTTGGGGGAACAAGCCTTTTATTCTGTCCCTGCTACAAAGCAGAAGGAATTGTATATACAGGACCTCCTACTTTCTTTTCTCTCTTCTCAGGGATGAAGGTTTCAGAGGCAAGCTAGACTCACAGTTTTACAATTGGTATACAGGCTTCCAAGCTTTGGGCCTAGAGATTGTCACCAGCCCAAAGGATCCCCTGCCCAGAAATTAGGACAGATTCCAGTTAATACTCAACTACAGTGAGCTGACATTCTGGATTTTGTGACTTAAGTTTCAGATATATGCAGTGTGGGTTCTAGACTTTTTGGTTTTACTGGGCTTCACTCAAGAGTGTCATTGTTTACAATGACAGTGAAATTGAAGAGCAAATATGTAACAGTACAATATTGGAAAAAAAGTGATGTTCATGTGGACTGTCTTACTGTAGGATGTCATTTAATATGAGGGCTGCTTTTCAAGGCAGCAAACCCCAGCTACAGTCCAGTTATACCATCTGTGACTTGGACTCTCTATTCTCCCAACCTGGTTAGATTCCCCTGTATGAATCATATGTCTCTGAAATACCAAGGCCTCTGAAAATAAGAGCTCTCTGGACTTTGTAATACTAACCTGTTAAGGAGACATGGCTCAGTTTTCTACAGTAGTTACCATCTGATACAAGACCAAAGATCGGTCTCTTCAACATAAGGCATTTTTGTTGTTTCTGAATGATAGGGAACTCTGACACAATTCACTCAATACTAAGAGATAATTAAGTTAACAACATATTTATACCAACTGTAAATTATCCTGTTTTATATAAAAATTTGGCTAAAATAATATTGTAGAACTATATAAGGAAAGGAAGAGAATATACAGTGGTGAGGAAAAAAATAGTAAAATAAGAAGAAGGAAGATAAGCGACAGAGCACCTGCAATTGGTGAGCCATTTCTGTAGATATATTGTTTTTTACTTCAATTTGATACTAGTTGCTGTTAAACTTTATAGATTTCTAAAATGTTTCTTTTTTAACTTGTTATTCAATATCTTTAATCAGAATTGAATTCTTAATTTCTGCTTGGCATAGTTAAGAACTGTTACTCTTCTTTATATGCTCTTAAGTGTGCCTGATGGATTATAAGAATCACTTGGGATTTTGACAGAAGTCAAGATTTTGAGGCCTGTTTCCCAGAGTTACTACTTCCAGTTTGGGCTCTTGATTTCTGTATTTTTTCCTTCATGTTTTACAGTGTTTTGAAAATGAAACCTTTTAAAACTAGTAATATTTTAAATATATGTCTTCACATAGATTCAGCAGTTATTATTTGCTACTTTTGTACGCTACGACACAGTTTGCCAAGATTAATAGCTAAAAAGATGATAGATATATGCAGATATGTATATATGTGTGGATAGATGAATAGATGGACAGGAAGATAATTGGCCTACTTTTAAGTGAGGTACTTAAAAAATGTTCTAGTTTCCTTTTTTTTTTTTGGGTACTGAGAATTGAACTCAGGACCTTGTGGCTGTGAGGGAGGAGATGGCACCACTGAGCTAAATCCCTGGCCCCTTAGTTTCCTTTTTGGTTCCTTGATGATTTGCAATCCCCAGACTTAACACAAAAAAATGAACAACAGATCTTTAATTAGAAGGTTAGAATTAACACAAAGCTGTCAGATGGTCTTGTGTATTTTGAAGTGATGTCATACATCCAAATATGCATATTTAAACACATATGTGCCCTTTAAAAACTAGTACTGTACCTCACTGTTCCCATTACCATGATAACTGGAACATCAGCAGGGACTTAGAGCCTTTTGAAAGCCACTGCTCAACACTAGCTCCTATATCAGTTCTCCTTCATATGGAGCCATTTTCCTGATTTTTTTTTCATTAATTATTTAGCATTTTCTTAAGGTTGTCCTCCAGATATGTATCTGTTGGTGTTTTTTAAGATTTCCAATTGAACGTTCTTCATTGGAATCATACTATGTGAGATCTGAATATTTTAATTTTAAAAATTTATTATGTAAAGGACATATTGCCATTAATAATCCTTAGAATATTCGCCCTTTCTTTGAACACATTTATCCCATCATTCTTGCTACTTTTGAAAGCAGTTCTGGAAGTCCTCTTTTGTGCCTTTAGCTGGGCCGTCACAGCTGCCTCGAAGTCCCAAATCAATTCAAAACATTTACCTTTCATGGTCATTTTGACTTTGAGGAAGAGCCAGAAAGCACAGGGTTTCCGATCCAACCCATTGAATAATCCATTAGATGGCACTCAGAGGCAGCATTCACTGTATTTTTTATTACACCTTATAAAGACATTCATGAAAGAACTACTTCCACAGGTGGCAAAAATGATGGGATGTGTGTATACAATGAGGGAGAGTGTTTAGAGAGAGATCTATAGCAATGTATCTTTTACTGTAATAATTTTTTAAAAATTAAAAATTCACCATATAAGATCCTCAGTCTAAGCCAGCATCAGTTCCCACCTGGACTACTGCTGCCATCCCTCCCTGCTCCCTGCTTTTGTTCTTGCCCTCTTAGGGTACAGCCCTAGTCAGATCTGATTACCCCCCTCTAGTTAAAATCCTCTGAAGACTTTCCAGTTGCAGGGCCAATGAATTATTCCAAACACTTTGTCATGGCCTTTGCTTGTGATCAGACCTCTGTCTTCATTTCTTTTTTTTTTTTGGTACCAGGGATTGAACTTGGGTCCTTGCGCTTGCGCAGCAGGCGGCAAAACCACTGAGCTAAATCCCCGGCCCTGTCTTCATTTCTTACCTTGGTTCTCTTCATTCACTGTGGCCCAGTTACCACAGCATTTTTCTCTTCTTTGAATATCACTGCTCACTACCATCTCTGGGTTTTGCATTTACCTTTCTGTCTTCCAGAAATTCTCTCCCCACAACTTTAGTGTGATATTTTCTTTTCATAGTTCAGATAGCTTAAAGTCCCCCTCTTAAGAGAGACTGACCCTGACCTTCCTGGAACTTCTCATCTATGTTTCTCTTAAACCTTTTAATTTTCTTCTTAATTATACTAGTTAATTTAAACTGAAGTATTTCTTGATGTGTTTTTTAGCCCCACCTGCTAAAATATAAAATCCAGCAGAGTGGGCAACAGAATATCTGGTGATTTTTGCTTGTCTTTTTTTTTTTCTGTGTTCTTCACCTCTGTAATAGTACCCCAGGACTGTACATAATAGGAGTTCAATAAGTATTTATAGAATTAATGAAGTGATGAATGTAAAGACTGGTGCCTAAAGAAATTACAGAACTTGTCTTATGTATTACTAAGTCATAATATATATATATATATTTATATATAAACACATACATATTTTAAGGCATTAAAATATTTTCTTTTTCAGGATAATTGGAATTCTTCAAAATGTCAGGTATGATTTTGTGAATAAATTTGAATATATTTCATTTTCAAATGTGAATCATTTTCATTTTGAAGTTATATTCAAATGCTAAACAATAAGATTTCAGAATGAAAAGAATTTGAATATATTTGCATATATATTCATTTATCTATATGAATATTTCTGTTTATATTTGTCAAAAAAGAATTAAAAAGCATCTCATATTGGCACATACCTACTGAACAATCTTTAAAATATGTAAGGAAAATGATGTAAAGGAAAAATAAGGATAGGGAAGTAGGTCTGCAAAGAGAGGTAGTGGAAGTAAAGAGCTGCAGTGACATCTTGCCTTTCATAGGATAGGATAGACCCTCCATTTTATAGTAACCTGTATAAAGTCAGCAACACCAGAGGTGTGGAATTTACATTTTTTATAAGATAAAAGAAGCCAGTTGTTAGGAAATTCAGAACTTTTCTTACAGAGGTCCAGCGAAAAATTTGTCTAATCTCATCCACAGGACAAAGTATAACATCATGAAAAATGACTTCAGCTCCTCCCATGAAGCAATTCCTATGACAAGGCTGCTTTTAGGAAGAATATAGCAAGCATCCGAGTCATTGTAGATACAGACTGAACTGGGTCTAAAATGTATATGACACCACTGCGAGTTTTTAAACTACTGAGTATCTATGATGTTATGTTTTGAAATTAAGTCAACAGCACTTTTCAAAGAGAATCAGGAAAAAAACGGAATTCACTCTGTATTTGCCCATTTTCTCCAAATGTTAGGAGAAAGAATTTTCACTGTCATTGAGCCAATTTACCATGTAGATAGAAGTCAAAATCAGGTCAGCTGACCCACTGGTATAAAAGCTCACTGCTCTAATCGAAGCACAGTGTAATTCTTCCATTTTAATCTAGGTTTGACCTAAAATTGATGAAATTTCTTAATACACTGATACGTAATATATGATTATGGGTTTTCATAAGAAATACGAGTGTATTTTATATTGAATATATTCCTTCATGCATGTTTACATGAAAAAATCAATGTGCTTTACAATCATATTATCATTTTCTTTGTAAATAATGTATATATATATTTTTTATCTCAACTATAATACCCACAGCCCCTGAGCTGCCTGCAGATGAAATGGAAAATCAAACCAAAACACCAGATGCAAGACCCGATGCTCCTCCTGACTACACTTCTCACGTTGTTCCAGGTAGGATAAATATACACAAAGGTTCTTTCCTCACTCCAGAAAGCTTCAGTAATAGTTAAAATTGATTTTTAAGTAAACCATTTCATGGATTACTTCAATAAACAGATAATGAATGTGAATATGGTGCCAAATACAGAGTCTGCAAAAAAATTGTATACATCAGGAAGAGAAAAACCTGTGTGAATATTTTAATACTAAATTTATTGAGACATCATGTGATTAATACAAGTTACCTTTGCCCACTACAGTTGCAAGAGGTGCTCAAAGTGGTGGCCATTAGCTTCTAGACATTTATTAGTATGGGCAACTGCTGAAGTGGGTATACGTATTTTTGGCAGATGCTGTAGTTTACCATCTGACAATTAGAACATATTCCTGTCTTCACAGGATGTACCAACTACTGGGGAAGGAAGCTGTACAAGTATTAATACCAATATGGACATTCTGTTATGTATCTATAGATAAAGAGAGAGAGAGAGAGAGAGAGAATGAATACTATGGGGCAAAGAACATGGCGTCTGACTCTGAGATTGGAGGAAAGCCTAACTGAGAAAGTTTTGCTGTCATGTTAAATATTTCACAGTCAAAGAAAAAATAGAAAGGATTATATCTAGGAGAAAGATCGTGTGTTCAAAAGCATGTGTTCAAAAAGATATGGAATGAGGCTAACATAGGAAAAATGTTAGGAGAAATGCAGACAAATGGAAGGGAATGGCCTTGAGTATTGACTAAGGAACTTGTTCTGACAAATGTTTATGTAAATCTCAATACACTGCTGGTTGTGACACAGAATAGGTACTCTGCTAGTGTAAATTTGAGTTATTACATTATTTTTAGAAAACAATTTACTTACATGTAAAACTTTCAAAATTAAAAATACACCTACTTCTGACTAAGGAAAATAAATTTTGAACAGTAGTGGGGATTACAGCCTCATCCTAAAAAATGGATTTAATCTGTACAGTTTTTAAGATTTTAATGACTTAGAACATAATGAATGTAACGTAATACTATTTCCTTTTTTTCATTTTATTTATTTATTTTTCTTTTATTCGTACATTTTAGGTATACAACACAATTACATTTCTCATTGGGAACTTGTACCTTTATATGATGCATCTTGGTTCTTATTTTTTCCCCATTCCTAGCCCTCCCTTCACCCCCTCCACCCTTCCCTA